ATTTATGTCTAGTCTCATTAAAAAAAAAACCATATATAATAACTTTATATTCGTATATTTTAATGAGTTCCACATTATCAATTATTGTAAAATACTCTTGTAATAGATGTGTGTTCTTACATTATAGATAGATTATGCATATAATGTAAGTAAAGTAGTACTTATTACAAAAAATATTACCGTGTATTTTTTCTATACATCTAATGCAGAGTCGTCAATTGAAATGTCATGTTTTTTATCAAGTAAATGAATGAACAGGTTCACTGAGTAGTATCTACCAGTGTGCTTAGTGCGAGTTTTTTTTTTTTTTATTGCTTAGATAGGTGGACGAGCTCACAGCCCACCTGGTGTTAAGTGGTTACTGGAGCCCATAGACATCTACTACGTAAACGCGACACCCACCTCGAGATACAAGTTCCAAGGTCTCAGTATAGTTACAACGGCTACAACGGTGCATCGCTACACACGAATGCACCGGACGTCTTATCCTTTAGGCCACGACGACTTATTTTAGCGAGTTTTTAACTTTCTCGATAGCGTAAAAGCTAACTCTAATTTGTATGGAGTTGGAACGTTTGCCTACGTTTGTCACTCGCACTAAGCACACTGGTAGATACTGAACCTGTTCATTCACTTACTTGATAAAAAACATGACATTTCAATTGACGACGCACTAAGAACATTGGTGAAAGTTTCTAACGTTTTTGTTACTTTGCTACTGCCACTTGCCTTGAGGGGTAAGGTCTTAATCCGGTAATCACGGTGACTTACTCACCAAATCGAACGAATGTTTGATTTTCCGTAAAATGGGTAGTAAGGTGGATCGCAGTATTACGAACGCGGGCTCAGCTAAGATGGATCTAGCTATAGTCGTGCATATCTTAGTATATACTGAATTTAAATTATACTAAACTAGCGACCCGCCCTCGCTTCGCTTCGGAAACATTAAAACACACATGATACCAAAAAAAATAATAAAAAAAAATGAAAAAAAGTAGCCTATGTTCATCAGGGACAATGTCGGCTTCTAATGGAAAAAGAATTTTTCAAATCGGTCCAGTAGTTTCGGAGCCTATTCGAAACAAACAAACAAACAAACAAATCTTTCCTCTTTATAATATTAGTATATAGATATAGATTTACGTGTCAGCTACGATGTACACACTACGTATAGGAAATGAACAAGCTTCAAACTTCTTGCCGAATGTTCTCAATAAACTACATTTCTAAAAATGCATAAGAGGCCCGATTTAATTAAATAATAATTTTGGTATTTTTTCTCGTTACCCATTAAAGAGAATCTAATCTAAATATCTATAATAATGAGATATGAGCATTAACTGAAAATATTATTTTAATTAGAATAATTGGGAAGGAGCAGTAGTGTGCAGTAGTAACTCGAGTACATTGTGATTACTTAACTAAAAGTTCTGAACAATAGTCGTTCGAGTTTTCAGTTGTCGTTTACTTTTTTCTTATAGCCTTTCCAAGCAGACGAACCGTCACTCAGGGACGTTAGCAATGCCAGAGGTAGAGCCGAGCCGCTACCTACCATAAAATTACTTTATAAACTACTATTCTGTCATTACATTTGCTCCAATTCAAGGGCCGTATTTTATCAACGGTTTTTAGAGCACACTAATCGTATCCTAAAATCATATTATTATGTAAAGTATTTTTTTTAATTGCCCTTGTAGGCAGACGAGAATACGGCCAAATTTCGGGAATTAACGAAGTGACACAACATTACTATTTAAAAATGTATTTATTGCTTTTCGAAGTATTTTCCGTGAAATTTGACACATTTTTCCATACGATGGAACCAATCATTGAAGCAACCATTCCATTCGGAAGTTGGGGTCTCCAAAATGGCCGTTTTGTAGGCGTCCACAGCTTCTTCAGGTGATGAAAATCTCTGTCCACGCAATTTATTCTTTATTTTAAGGAGAGTATAGAAATCATTAGGGCTTAGGTCGGGGCTGTACGGCGCATGGTCTAATAATTCTATGTTTTCTTGCTCTAAAAACTCTTTTGTTCTGTGCGCGGTGTGAGAACTCGCATTGTCGTGATGGAGGATGATGCGGCGGTTGCAGTTCTCTTTACGGAGTTCAGAAACGACCTGTGGCAAACAAATGCTAGCATACCATTCTGCATTAACCGTTCTTTGTCCCTCAAGAGGAATAGTCGTAANGGTTTCTATCCATGCGGGTGTAAGCCCTTCCAATTCTTTGAACGTTTATTTCCGTAAAGCAAATAGTTAGAATTAATAAGGTGAAAATTTAAAATGTGTGTAAAACGGATTAGTCTCCTATAAAGATATATTGTAGAAAATTCCATATTTTTTTTCCATGAATTGAATCACATCCATACTTTTACTCATTAACAAATCATGTTGAATATATCAGCTTATAAAAACATTAGTTATTTAAATTACCTATGTGATTATTTTCCGGGTGATGGATGGCCGGCTATCCTCGACCCACGCTGGTTCTGACCCAGCGGGGTATTTCGTAGGATAACCTATTCAAACCGGCGCCATCTAGGCGGGCTTCGGACAGCCTGCCGACCGAGAGGGCTGGTGGTCGTGGCGCCGACGATCGCTGGCCCGGCGTCCCGAGGGGGAGGGTGATGGGAGAGATGTGCTCCGCACTAAACGCTTCACTCTCCTCCCCTTGCCTTTTCATGAGTTCTGTCTCATGCGAGGGTTGGACGTTGGTTGTTGAGCGACAGGAGGTTTTAGTCGGTTCGACTCCGACATGCCCCATTGGGGATGGAGATCCATTGGGGATGGAGGGTGGGAGTCCGGCGATTTCCTCATGACAAAAAAAATAAATAATTAAGTGTCAGTCTCCTTAACTTCTCTATTATTGTTTTGTGGCGTTTAAGAACGCATATTTTTATGATGCGTAAGCCGGAACGCACGAGATGTGGAAAAAAGGTATAATCTATGACGGAACCTTTTTACCACCAAATATTTAAAACGTAAAAATAATTTATAATGTGTTAAATAACTAATATAATATAATTAGCTAGAATTGTTTATGCCGCTACATCAATAAAATATATATTGTTTCAACTGTGGTGTTAATTACATAAAACACGACTTTACGGCGAAATAAAGATGGGACTCTATATGAACTCCCTCAGTTTGTAAACAAACGAATCGATTAAAAGGTTTTTATGTCATTGTATAAATCTCAGCAAAGCTATAGATTTCAATTACATCATCACTAAGAGCGACTGTTCTGGTCTTCACACCAGAACGAATAATTCTCTCCTATGCTAAAGAATTATTCGAATTATTAGACATCATGGTGGTATACAATCGGAGGGTTAGTACCGTATCAGTACACGTCCTTACGGATCCATCAGATCCAATAACCTTTGCATTAGATGCCTTCAGCTCTAATACTAGGGGCAGGCTTAGGGACCCCGGTAACCGTACTCGTCGAACTCGACAAAGAGGTCGACGTGCAACCTAACCCATGCATCAGCCCGCTGAGTTTCTCGCCGGATCTTCTCAGCGGGTCGCGANTTTTTGTGTTAAACCACTTCGAAAGTCATAATAAATCATCGCTCTTGAATTTTCTCGAGTCAATTCCATTTTCTCAACGACTAAACAAGTTTGACAAAACCTCGTGACAAGACCGAGAATCTTTTTTTAAATAAATAAATGGTATTCGATTTTTAAAACCAAGGAGTTTTCAATTAAAAAGATTTTAATATGACAGGAACCGTGGAAATATTCCATTCCCGATACTTTTAGTGCAGCCTAGTAATGTGATAAATTTTATTGATACGGACAGATGAACTAAAATGATTAGCTATTTAGACTTTATGAAAGTAGATAATATATATTCATATGGGGGTACAGCTTTTGTAGGTTATATCGTTTCGTATTTCTAGAAGCTACATTAATTCTCAAAAAGCTAAATAGCACCGCTGTTTTGGGTAGGGCTTCTCGGACCCCAGGATTACGAAGTATCTTGATTTTTAAATTCAATTCAAGCGAAGCTCGCGACTCGCATGACACAAAAAGTAAAAAGGCCTTTCTCTACTCTGAACCTTTGTATGAAATGATTAAAAGCCGTTTTTATTTGCTCAGCGGACACAAAAAAAACATTATCGCTAAAGACGATTTTGTAAAAAACCTCGAACGTGTTATTTTATACAATTCGTTTATTATAAATATTTTGACAAATGGCTTTCCGAATATAGAAATGGCGTGAAGCACAAAGCCTGACTGGCAAATCCTGTTTCATGTTTTAAAGTTATTGTTGCCATAAGCGGCAAGTGACCGTTTTCATTTATTTGAGAACGTAACGATACTGAGACCTTAGAACTTATATCTCAAGGTGGGTGGTGCATTTACGTTGTAGATGTCTATGGGCTCCAGTAATCACTTAACACCAGGTGGGCTGTGAGCTCGTCCACCCATTTAAGCAATAAAAAAAATATTCCATGTTCAGAACGTTATTCTTAATGGAGGAATTTATTATGATAAGTGATTTTATAAGAGAGAAACTGTAAATTGTAAGATGTGTCTTTGTCCTTTGTTTAACCTTTCACCTTCTGGCGAACCGTATGAAATATTGGCGCCAAGAATGCATTTTGTAAGTTTGTACGTATGAGTTGCTTTTATATAATTTTTTTTCATTTTGTATCAGAAATAATCGTACGATAAATGTTCACGATCATTAATTTTAGGAAAGACACAAAAACCAATGTTCTTAATAGATTTTGTTAATGACTCACAAAAATATGGAGAAGTGAATTGTATGGTATTTCTAGTAGACGTCGCCGAATTTAATTGTAATTGATGAAAAAAAGTGGCCTAACCCTGAGAAAAAAAGGAGCGGCATCGACATTGGCGTCTTCTGATTGAGCCCGCGTTGGTCGTGCGTTGGATACGACGCGTCGGTTAGATAACAGTTCCAACGAAACGTCCGCGGGGCTTCCATCGCAGTCGTTGTAATTATTTTTTAACGTCGCGAATATACAAGTGTAGAGTTTTACAGCGCTCGTTCAGTCATCGCTTGGACAACGCACGGTCGACATTCGCCGCGTCTTGTGCGTGCAAACATCCCGCCGCGATTTTTTTTTATAACAAGAAACTAGTGCTTCTCGTATCGGTAACGTTATAAATATGCCTAAAAAGAAATAAATTACGTAACGTATTTAATTTATAAATCGGTTTTTTTTTGTTGTTGCTTTAATTTTAAATAAAAGAACATGTGCTAAATTGTGAATTCGAATTGACATTGCGACCGCATGCAAACAGTGCTGTGTAGTCGCGTCCAACATTCTGTGATACTGTTGCTGTGAAAACTTTAGTAAATTATTACATTTAAAAAAAAAACTAACTTAAAATCGTTTCGTGAAGTTATTTCGCGAAACATCCAAGAATAATTCTTTATGATAGGTCCATATATGAAGGTGAGTCTTGTTTTTTTTTACTATGAGCACTGGATTGATTTTAAATGTCGTTCTTATCAGGTGACTGATAACATTGTAGCGTTGATAAATGGCGCGAATAATGTTTGCATTACGTACTAACTAACCTACGCTGTTTTCTTAACCTCAAAATTTTTGAATTTTCTTTCCATATAAAGTTGATTAATGGTAAAGATACGTAACAGTCATATCAGCAATCTTCATCATGTTGTTTATAATAATAGTAAAATATTTAACCTTCATATAAAATAGGTATTTAAATCAAATCAGTAAAAAATGAACTTTGTTATTGTACCTCACACTGGTAAACGAACAGAGAATAATAATGTATGTACTGCTAACAGACATCTAATTGTGACCACCTGGGAACACGTCACATGTGTACCGGAAACTTATATTCAAACACCATACATATACATAGAACTAAAAAAAAACTAGTGTTGATGCCTGGTCTAGAGCCTCAAGGCGAGGAGCCAATGATAAGGAAATTCGTTTTCTATTTTACGAATTATTACAACACAACTGAACAATGCGTTTCAATGCAGCTATTTGACGCAAAAGTGCGCATAAATTGAATAAAGAGGTACATTAATATTTATATTTATTTATAATATTATAATATTAAAAAAAGTTCTAAAAAAAAGTTCTAAAATAAAAAAAGTTTTTATATAAAGTAAGAAGCGTCTTGAATCTGTGCTATAGCCACGGAATAGATAACCTTAATTATCTATTCCGTGGCCATAGCCCTTTCTATTTATGCCGTGAAATATGCACGCGTTCCTCACCCAGACTTTATTGTGTAGATAAGGAATGCGATCCAAGTCTCTATTGCATCGTATATCGATTGTCCCATCCTTCGAACCGGACTTTCCTGTTCCCATTTACCACAAACTCATGATTTTACTGGTAACGTAAACGTTTTTTTTGCCTGCCTACTGCCAGCCTCGAGGGGCTATTCTGGCTTCATCGGTGTACTTAGTGCGACTTTTTTAATGTTCTCGTTAGCGTAAAAGTTAACTCAAATTTGTATAGAGTTGGAACGTTTGCCTACGTTTGCCGCTAGGGGCGCTGTTCCAATTGCATACCAATTTGAGTTAACTTTTACGATATCGAGAACGTTAAAAAACTCATATTAAGCACACGGATGTGTAGGCGAGAGCTCACGGGGAGAGACTTTGTTTTGTAAAAAAAGGTTCAATTATTTGTTTTTTTTTAATTATCCACATTATTGTATGATTTAATAATTGAAGAAAACTAGTTTTAAATATCACATTATCATAACAATAAATAGCTATGATACGAGAATTGGAATTTCCAGATAGTAGATCGTGACGATCGATTCTTTGGTGACGCCAATTACAATAATACCTATTTATACATATCTATCGATCTATGTATAAAATATAAATAACCTTAGTCTCAATGGCATTTTCCGAGAACTCATAACGAAGAAAAAACTTCAAAAACTGGTTTTTAAAATGAATCACTGATTCTTTTATATCGGACATAGTTTGGCAACAACCGTTGCGTTCAACTGGTCCACAGTCCACATACTTGTTTTAGAATCGATCAAGCAATACGTGTTACTAAATATGAGTTGCTAAAGTTGAGTTTCGCATACGCGAATTCGGCCAGTAGCGGTGATTTTGATACAAAGCACGTAACTGCAAAGGAGGTGGCCTTATCAATAGTTAATACAATGCTCTTCCTTGCATTGAAACAACCTATTATCAGGAAATTGTAATTGAGATTGAATCATGCATCCGACGGTAAATGCGATTCGATACACCGGTACCTTTGCCATTTCCAACCACTCTGCAATGGCTTGATTTAAAGCACATATTCATTCAACAAAAGTGGCGGATGAAAGGCGATTGCATGCAGCAGAGATGCGAATGTTGTGATGGATGTGTGGAGTAACGAGAATGGATATAATAAGGAATAAATATGTTAGAGGAAGTCTGAAAGTGGCACCTGTGACAGAGAAGCTGAGGAGTGCGCGCTTGGGATGATATGGACATGTGATGAGACGAAATGAAAATGAGGTTGGTAAGAGAGTGTTAACTATGAATGTGGAAGGATATCGAGGAAGAGGTAGACCTAAGAAAAAATGGATGGATTGTGTCAAAGACGATATGAGTAAGAGGGGAGTGAACGAAGAAATGGTATATGATAGAAGAGTATGGAAGGAGAAAACATGTTGCGCCGACCCCAGGTGACTGGGAGAAGGGCAGGATAATGATTCATTCATTCAAGGACCGGTCTAGCTATATCGTAGAATAATAACAAAATGAACGTCTTCGAACAACTAAATAAAAAGAAATCGGCATTCAAAGAAACTTCTCCTTTGTATGCAGTGAGTTTAATAAAATTTATCTATTGGCCAGTCTCAGTGGCCCGTTGGTGGCTCTACGACTTTTTTCACTCGCTACAAAAAAGGATACTATCGAGCTAAATTTATTTATATTATGAAAAAATAAAATTTAGAATGACGAGCTTATGGTTCTGGTGCTTTGAATTGTTATATTATCACAGTATTATTTCTAGGTGCAACATCTAATTTTTAGATATTTAAATTATTTTAAAGTAGAGTCACTCAGTTATTGAAACGGTGTGAGCAATTTAAACTATTTTTCAGTTTGATTGGAAATTTTGAATGTTTAATTTAAAATGCATGTGACATTAGGTAAATCACTTGTGAAAAAATACATTGAAGTAATTTGAATTGATCGTAAAGAACTATAATTGACAAAGTTTCGTACGAATATTCCTAATTTTAGTACGTTAATAGTAGTTATGAAATACCAACTTTCTATTTTTATTAAAAACTAGCTGACCCGGCAGACTTCTTAGTGCCTCAATCGATAAATAAAAGATACATCAAGAGGACACATCAAAGGAAAAACAAAATTGTTAATTTTATCAAGCATTTTCATATTTCTACCTTATAAACCTTCTCTGGACTTCCACAAATAATTCAAGACCAAAGTTAGCCAAATCGGTCGAGCCGTTCTCGAGTTTTAGCGAGACTAACGAACAGCAATTCATTGTCACGCACCGGATGGCTCCTATTTTTCAAAATTACTGCTCAGACATTATAAAATTCGGCTGAGCGCAATTTTATTAAGTGTGACGTCATTAGGTGCCAAAACAAACGATGAGCGACGTTATTATACTTTCAACGATTACCTACATTTGGCATCACGAGTTGCGATATTAAATATCCTGTATATAATTTTAAAGTACTTCCCAGTGAAACGCGGCCAAAACTCACTGTGATTATGGCTATATATGTACTAACTAAATACGAGAATCGATGCTCAATCGGATATACCGTAGAATTAGAAAAAACTACATTCATTTTATACGGTATCGCGTTAAAAGTAAGCGGTAGATTTATTCCCAGAAACTCCATTGCATTCACACCGATCTATTTAAATCGATATTTTGCTGCGTTCATTTCAATATTATTCTATTGTAGGCGGTTGTGTATAACTTATTAAGTTTTATTTGATAACTAGCGACCCGCCCTCACTTCGCTTCGGAAACTGTAAATTATTATTGAATTCTCCACTATTTAATGGATGTTATTATACATATAAACCTTCTTCTTCAATCACTCTATCTATTAAAAAAAACCGCATCAAAATCCGTTGCGTAGTTTTAAAGATTTAAGCATACATAGGGACAGAGAGATATAGGGACAGAGAAAGCGACTTTGTTTTATACTATGTAGTGATTAGTAACGGTGCTAAGTTTATAGCTATTAAATGTAGGCAATGTTGCTGAGGTGCAATTGGTTTGTCTTCAATGGCTAGATAAGAAATTCACTCTTTTTATTTATTGCTTAGATAGATGGACGAGCTCACAGCCCACCTGGTCTTAAGTGGTTACTGGAGCCCATAGACATCTACAACGTAAATGCGTCACCCACCTTGAGATATAAGTTCTAAGGTCTCAAGTATAGTTACAACGGCTGCCCCACCCTTCAAACCGAAACGCATTAGTGCTTCACGGCAGAAACAGACAGGGTGGTGGTACCTACCCGTGCGGACTCACAAGAGGTCCTACCACCAGTAAGAACTCAATTTTAATAAAAATATCGTCCTTAAACGTGTGTAGATTGGTAAAGATGCAAATATAATATAATACATCTAGTCATGATCAACGGTTTCATTGGCGCCACGTCTGTATTTAGATTTATACTTGAAATGTAAGCTGACCTAATATTTGTTGCACTTGATGGATTGTTGATCGCGAATTTATTAGTTAAAAAATATAATTTAATATTGGAGTGGTATTTTAATGGAGATAAGATATACTATACCAGTTTTCTAAGTTTAGTCATCAAAGAAAAAAAAACTCTTCAATCACTTAAAGAGATACAAACACTGAAACAATTTGTAATCGTTTTTGATATCTTACACGTAGGTACGAATTACTGAAATAGTATATTTAAAAATATAGTAGTATGCTATGAAATACATTGGTCTTAGTTTCTAACCGTGGTCAGGGTTAATTAAGCATTCTAGTTGACATACTAATTACAATTTCGGAATCGTTACATTGACACGCTTTGGATACGCGAGAAATCTAAAATTTCAAATTAGATAGTCTTATGCTTTTTATAAACAACTAGGTGACCCGGCAGACTTCGTAGTGCCTCAGTCGATAAATAGAAGACCTAAGCTTTTGTATAAAATAAACTTAAAACAAACAAAAAGAATCGGTCCGATGGAGGGGACATCAAAGGGAAAACAAAATTGTTATTTTTATTTAATTCTGAGCGTTTTCATATTTATTTACCTTTTAAACCTTCCCTGGACTTCCACAAATAATTCAAGGACCAAAATTAGCCAAATCGGTCCAGCCGTTCTCGAGTTTTAGCGAGACTAACGAACAGTAATTCATTTTTATATATATAGACTAGCGACCCGCCCTCGCTTCGCTTCGGAAACATTAAACCACACATGAAACAAAAA